CACACACACACACACACACACACACACACACACACACACACACACACACACAGCGCAGGATGCCTTGCACTCACTTCCTCTGCAGAACTGGATTAAGAGTCTTGAAATGTGATGAGTGGTCGGTTGTGATGATGGGAACCAGAAACTGCAGCGTAGTGCCCCTGAGGTGCGGGGATGAAGTTATGTGGTCTCTTTAAGTGTTTGTGAGGGGGGCTGGTGTATCTGTCGCACAGTGACACTCTATCAAAGGCCCTTTGTGTTCCCACCTCTGAGAGTGAGCAGCTGTGAGCCTCAGCACGACTCAGCATTCGTGCTCGACCACACATGCCCCACTGATCTCCCACGCTGCCCTCTGCTCCTCCACTGTCCTCTGAGGCAACCAAAGACAAGGTAACAAGCAACACGCTTCAAGTGCAGATAAAGACTTGGCTTAAAAGAAAGAAACTGCTTTGGTTTTGAGCCAATCCCACTCATTCTAGAAGACCTGTGAACATTTTCCTAACAGATCCCTGGGCTTCTCACTTATTCCTCTATAATTGTTTTTGGTCAGACCTTGTAACTTCAATATTTGGGTGTTCTGAGATTTTAGTGTCAGAAAACCAAATTCAATAAACAGACCTTGACATATAAATTAGTCCACCTTTTTAGTCCAGAGACTGAAATAACTCAACAACTCTAAGATGGAAACTTCTGTGACGAGATAATTTCAGTCTATAGACTTACTTTGGTGATCCCAGACTTTTCTTCGAGCACAAAAGGTAACAAAAAAATTTGTTTTGAACTACTGGGTGGATTGGCATAAAATATGGTGCACACGCATGTTTTCAGTATAAAGTGAGACTTTCAATTTGTCCAATATTTAGGTGCCTGACTTAAAATAGTGTAATTCCCATCAGCTTCAGTTGATTTGTGCTAACATTCCAAACTAAGATGGGAGTCTTGGAAAAGTGATAACTGCTAAACATCAGCGTGTTAGCTTTGTCATTACAGTATGTGCATGTAAACGTACTAGCATTTAGCATGAATCACAGCTTTGTCTAAGTGCAGCCTCACAAAGCTGTAGCATGCTATAGAGCAGATGCTTGGCATAGTTGCATATTTAATGCATTCAATGTTGTCTTCAATGACAGGGCTATTTGTTCTCCAGAGAATAACTGTCTCTTCATTAAAAATGCATTAACATTGGAAGCTGAGATTGCAAATGGACAAATATCTGAAGTATTGTCACGTGACTCTTGACAATAAGTGTGTATTCAGGCAGTTTTCCCAGGGTAAACCTTCAGTTATACAGCTGCAATGAACTGTGACATGCTGATTAACTCACTAAGACTTCACAGAGCTCTAACATGAATACAGATTCATATATAGGAATTTAGCTAAATTATGTTATGGAAAAATAATAACATCTGGACAATAGAGTGGATGTTCCAACTTCAACTTTAACACATATTTTATCATTTCTACACAAAGCATATCAGCCGCTTTGGCCTTTTTAGTCCAGCCTCTCCTCCCTTTCTCTTGTCTGTTCCAGAAAAAGCAAACGAGGGACTAATGAAAGAAAGAAATGGATTGCAGAGCCCGCCTCATGTTGCTACAATGCTAATGGACTAGTTGCTTTGCTCTCGGCAGAAGAGTCATTATGTGTGAAGACTGATGTCCTGTGTCCAATTTACTGTAAGAATGCCCAGCGTGCCATGCCAACGGGTCAACGTGAAAAAAGTGAGTGAAATAGGATGTGACTGATGTGTTTTCTCTCACTGATTGAGAAAAAACAACACATGGATGTATTTTAGTTCTGTCTGTCCCCTTTCAATTTTGATGGGATACAAAATTGAAACAAATAACTTATATCAAACCATTTTTTTAACAGGATGAGTGAGGGTAGAATTACATTGCATTCAAAATGTCATGACACCAAGAAAACAACATTTGTCTTAAATGAGATAGAACCAATTAATACTCCATCCCTGCTCATTTTTTCAAACCAAACAAACACTGACCAAATATCAAACAATTTCTCATCTGAATAAAAACTAAAAAGCGCTACCTTGTGAAAGCCAGTTGCAGTCGGGACACTCAGATGAAACAAACTGGATGACCCTCCTCACACAGAACATCAGTTAGTAGGGTTAGCACACGGCTGAAGGAACACCCCCTGCTGCGCTGTGATAGTTGAACCAGGAGCCCGGGCCACGGACACTCACTTTAACAAATCACATGCACTCAGCTTTGCCCGGCTGCCCATATGGAGGACCCCCGCTGGGGCTCGAGTGCTGTGTAACCCCTTCTCTGCCCTTCGCTGCTTTTCCCATCATGCCTCACTCTCTCTGGCTACTGTATGTCACACATCCAATGGATCTGCAGCCCGCTGGCAGGAGCACTGGCTGCTACCCGCCTCCTGCTGGGATGACCTCCACTTCAGGAAGGGATACCCCAAGGTTAAAGGGATCCAAACAATGAGAGTGGAAATGTGCTACAGGAAGTGAAGGACACTCAGTTCTAGTACAGTGCAGTGTCCACAAAAGCCTCACAAAGAAGAAAATGGGCACACTGATAAAAAAGAGACATCTCACCACAGAATAATAATTGTACTATATACACTGCACCTCATTATACAATGCTACATTTATTTAAGTATAGTATTAACACTGCTGCTACTTATCTACCTGAATGTGTCTTTATTTAAATTGTAATAATTTGTATTTTAAATACTAGTGCATGCCTTTTTTATAATAATGTTTTCGTCTCTGTCTATTCTCTATCTTTAAATGTCCTTTTTGTGGGATGAATAAATAAATTCTGATTCTCAATAAATCTAAATGTAATATGGGATTAAGGCTTCAGGATTACAAACTAGAGCATTAGATTTCAAATGTCATCATAAACATAGTCAACATTACCATCACTGTAGTCATGTCCTGAATAGGAATCATTCCACAGTGAAGCATCACTGCAATAAAGACTAAGGGAACATGTTGTACTGTACCTAACCCCCACCCTCACAATCCAGTAGCCTCAAGTTTAAAAGGGAGGCTTCGTGTGACAAGAAAGTGAGAGAAAAAGGGAGAGTGAAAGAGCAGGATTGGGGAAATCCAGTGAGACTAAATTGGAGCATCCCTCCCTTTGTAGCACATGCTGAAGACCATGTCCCTTTGATGTCAAATACATGGGGAAATGTGACTCTGAGCTCCGGAAAAAAAAATTGGGTATAAAAGGGGGCGTGGTGAAATGATGTAAGAGCCTCGCTAAGGAGGACACTGTTTCTGTTTTGTTTTTTTCAGACTATTTCGCCCTCCACTTCAAGGCACACTAACCCTTTCTGGTGATTTGCATCCGGCTCATATACCATAGCCTCTAACCACAATCAATGCACTAATGGTGATTGCTGAGGCTGCAATTAACCTCTCCCTCTTTCAAATCCAGCTATGCTTTGTTTGCAAATTGCTGCAAAACGTGGACTATCCAAACAATAAAACAGTGGTAAATAACCATCTTAGGGAAAATATAAAATGTAAAATATATACAAGCATGGCTGCAAATTATGCATAACACACATTAATGCTCACACACACCCACTCACAAATGCATGTGCACATTATGTACATTGTGATTGGCAGGGGTGTCATTACGCAACTGCTTTCTCACTAACATAATGGCAGGTTAGGAAGCAGATATTATGTGGTTCTTTATTTCCACCCAGCAGGGCGCAGACTTTTATGGATGAGAATGAAAAACAAGTCCTCTACATGTGTTTGCCTCCTTTCTGTTCTCTGAGCAGCCATGTTTTCCTATAGCAGCTCAGCTATTGCCAGACTGTGATTTAGTCTGATTTCCCTTTATCAGACTCATTGTGTTTGGACCCCATTTCCCCATCTTTTTTGTGAAACCGTGCATTATTTAGAGGCTAGAGTCTGTGTGAGATGCACCAATGGGTTAATCGGTGTGTGTGTGTGTGTGTGTGTGTGTGTGTGTGTGTGTGTGTGTGTGTGTGTGTGTGTGTGTGTGTGTGTGTGTGTGTGTGTGTGTGTGTGTGTGTGTGTGCCAGCTGTTGGATTGGTACATTGTCTGGGATCTCCTGTTTCCATATAAATCCATAAGATCGTAGTCCTTTCATGTGTTAGCTGTGGTGGCAGATGCCCTCCTATTAGTGCAGACCATGTTTGGGACATTTGTTTTGACTGCCAGAATGTCTTTGTTTATTTCAAGATGGAGGATTTCACAAGGAAGATTTGGTGAAGATGAAGTTGAAGTCAGATCCTGAGGCATATTTGTTTTCAGAATACTGCTGCTGTGTTATCAATGCAGCATTTTCTACCATTTTCATGTCCATTCAGGAGGAAATGAAAGCTTCGTCTGATTGCCGATGTTGGAACAGTATTTAAAAAATGAAAGCATTCCGTACAGTTTGTACATTGTTTGGAGCCATTATAAGCTAGACATACCTTTTATAAAAAAAGCAACTTTGACTCTGAATTGGATGTGATTTTGGGATAAACTCCTCCTTTAAAGCTCTCAGCCATCACTGCTGCGTCTCTCCATCAAAACAATGTTTCTGAAAAAGCCCTGTTTATAGGCTACCTTCCCCTTCATTTAGAGTCCATTACCATCCTCCAGACTTTGCTTTTACGAGGTCTGCTCTATCAAGTCATCTGCTCATTTAAATGCATTAGACAGCATTAACGATGAGAGATATCACCTGTCGGCCCCAGGCAAAGTATAAAGGGCCATTAAGTGGATTCCCACTGATGTCCTCGCATCCATCTAGCACATGACCGTATCAGAAAAGCATGGGGAAAGCAAAAAGGTGCTTGTTTTATGAGTACATGTTCATTAAATCGCTTAATAAGCTCAACCATTAAAAGAGTTAATGATAGTTGTAAATAAAACTGCTGGCATTTATGCTTTATGGGCTATACACTGTATAAAGGTGAATGAATAAAGTATAAATATTGTCCATGAGAGTGGGTTCAGAACACAATAATCAGAATGACGTGTTAAATTGAAGCTATTTAAATAAAAACTACATAAAATGCAAAAAAAGTATGCATTAAAGATGGGAAAAAACACAGATTTTCACCCCTGTTTTGACTCAAGTTTTTTTTTTTTAAAACATATATCAGTTTCTTTCAGACTTGCAGACACCTCAGTGTGCATCTAGGTGTTACACACTCACCTGCTGGCGACCTGTCTCTCTCCTCCATGGTCCTGCATCAGAGCTGCTCTGCTCCACCGGGCTCTGCAGGAAACTGACGGACGAAGCTCCTCTTTTATGGATCAGACTAAAGGTGCTTAAAAACACGCAGGTCCATTGAAAAAAACAGCTTGACTCATATTTCTTCAGTGCCTTCTGCTGCCCGCCCAAGAAGAAGAAAGAAGATGCTTCTGGAGATGCTCTTTTTTTTACTTTTTCTATCGGAGGCGGATTAACTCATCTGACGCTGGAGGCAGAGATGAGGAGACAGGCTGGGATCCCTCCTCTGAGCGCCCACCATCTCAACCTGCCAAGCAGCGGGAGGAGGAGGAGTGTTTATCTCTTGCTCCTCCAGTGGTCCGCATGACCCAGTTCAGCAGCACCACACACGCGGAGGCAAACCCATTCACGCACATCCACGCATGCAACACCTCTGCGCTCTGCAGCATCAGCATGCATGGACCAATGTTCCCACTCTCTCCAAAAACTGTGTCTCACTGTCTGCGGGTCAGCCTGCTGTGTCCGTCAGTCCAGCGGGACTCTGAGGTCGAGTATGAGAGGGCGGGGTGGGGTGGTGTTGGGAG